AAAATTAATAGTGTAATATTTGTTGTTTTCAATAAAAAGATGATAAAAATTTTCTAAATTACACGTTAAACTCCAAATAAAATATTCATAAAATAATTGTTGTTCAAGATGTTGCCGTACACAGATAATATGTCATTCTTCGAACGATGGCATAATGCAGCCATTAGTGTTTACGATGCAATTATTCGTGAGTGGTTATATATTCCGGCCGAGGAAAAGTTGACAAAAAAATATTTTGCTCACTTGGAACCATTACCTTCTTTGAATGATTTATTGAATAGCATATCGGTGATGTTTGTTAACACACATAGAGCTCTGTCACCACCGCGACCAGCAATGCCAGGTATTTAAAATGTCTCTAATTCCCCCTCCACTATTTATGCTTAACAATTATTTTGGTTTAGGTATAATAAGTATTGGGGGTGCTCATGTTAATCCTGCAAAACCTTTACCAAAAAATCTTCAAACATTCCTCGATGAATCTACGAATGGAGTCATTTATTTCAGTTTGGGCACTGTTGTACAAAGCTCAAAACTACCCAAGGCGAAAATTCAAGCATTTTTAGGTGAGTGCAGGTTTTATTTTCAGCCTAGATGATATATTTTCAGGCAATATATTGAATTAACTGGTCAGTTGAGCTGACAGTACGTTAGCCAGCTAAATGGGCTAAAACAATAGACGTTATTGTTTTAATGATGAATCACTTTTCTTTTTTTAATAGAAGTGATTGTTCATTATAACAATAACTTCTATTGTTTGAGTCCATTTAGCTGGCTAACGTACTGTCAGCTCAACTGACCAGTTAGTTCAATATATTGTCTGTATATTTTTATCAATATTTTTTCATTAGATTCATTCCGGCATCTGAAACAACGTGTTTTGTGGAAGTTTGAAGATGAAACACTCGAGAATGTTCCATCGAATGTTATGATCAAAAAATGGATGCCACAAAATGATATTCTTGCTCATCCGAACGTAATTTTATTTATTTCACATGGCGGTCTATTTGGTACATCTGAATCGCTCTACCATGGTGTACCACTGTTGTTGATTCCGTTCTTCGGAGATCAACATCGCAATGCACACCGAATTCAAACGGCCGGCTATGGAAAATTCATACTATTCGCTGAAGTATCAAAAGATTTGGTATCGAAGAAAATTGATGAGCTCATTTCGGACAAGACATTCTTGAACAGAGCAAAACAAACGTCAGCCATTTTCAAGGACAATTTAGCTCATCCAATGGACGAGGCTATGTTCTGGATTGAACATGTTTGCAAATTCAAAGGCGCAAAACATCTTAAATCCCACGCTATCAACATGTCATGGTTCACATATCTATCGCTAGATATTATTCTAGCTAGTATGGTCATATTATTGGCTGGTGTTTGGGTGCTTTACAAGATAATTTGTGCATTGGTTTCACAAAAGAAACAGACAACCGCACCTGAGAAGAAACAAAATTGAAATGTATTGAAATAGTGAAGCAGAGATTTTTTTAGTTTAAAATATTCCTCCAAATGCAGTGTACAAACACAAATCTTATTTTGATCGAATTTAAACTTCAGTGTATGCGTACAAGCATTAACCCTCTAACCAACTTTTATGTAAAACTGATAAAAAATAGTCGGGAATTTTTTTCTAGGATAATTATGACCTTCTTAACTCAAAAAAATCATCATCAGCTAAAAAAAAATTTCCCGGTCTATATGCCAAAAAAAAAAAACAGGCATCCTTCCCATACAAAAAGTAGGTACATTTACACCGTAACCCACAAGGCTGCCTAGAAGCACCCTTGACATTTTCAATTGTTTTCCAGAAAAACATTTTTTTCCCCATTCAATAAATACAAAAATAGATAGATGAACACAATACCTTTTCAGGAAAAAAATATTTACTGTGATCGGATCACTAGAAATATATAAATTTTGGATTTCAAATTTTTTTCCGGTGAACAATATTTTTGCTTCTTCATTTTTCAAAATTTCACACTAAAATGGTTCTGTCACCGAAACGGACCGTCGGATTGCGGTCAAATGTTCGAATGAAATGTCACAAAAACGATAGCGAATAAGATACCTAATGAGTTTACCGTTGAATTTTTTTTTTAATTTTGAGATAAATTGAGTTTTGTGAAGGCTCGCTGTAGGCAGCCTTACCGGTTAGAGGGTTAATTTGAATAAATATTTTAAAATAATAAGATCAAAACAATCACAAATGATTTAATTTTTTATCTTTGAGACTATCGTAATGATACTTCTTTCAAATTCATGCGCGTATCACAAATATCGGAAAGATAGAGATTTTAGGTGTGAATGTCCTATTCAAAGTGACTAGCACAAAATATTGTTATGAATTAACTTAATTGACTTTCGTCATGTCATGTGAGTTGTGAAGATTCGAATATGGCACACTCGAGAATGTTCCAAAATGATATTCTTCCTCATCCGAAGGTAATTTTATTTATATCACATCATTATTTGGTACATCTGAATCGCTCTACCATGATGTACTATCATTGTTGTTGGTCACATTCTTTGGAAATCAACATCGCAATGCACACCGGATTCAAACGGCCGTCTACGGAAAATTCATACTATTCTCTGAAGTGACAAAAGAATCGAAGGAAATTGACGCGTTCATTTTGGACGGCATTCTTAAAAAGGACAAAACAAACGTTTGTCAGATATTTTCAAGGACAATTTAGCTCATCCAATAGACGATGCTTTGGACTGAACAAGTTTGTAAATTCAAATACGCAAAAGATTTTAAATCACACGCTGTCAACATTTCATGATTCACATATCTTTCACTTGATATAATTGTCGCCAATACTACGGTAGTACTTACAAGGTTTTAAGTTTCGATCTATATCTAATTAAGAAACTCTTTGCTAAGAAGAAAATTCAACAAGTTCCTGGTAAAAAACCAGACTGACTGAATAACACACAACTCAAATAAAATCTATGGTCATTCAAAAAATATTTTTTTTTCTTCAAGTAATGTAGATAAGCAAGAAAACCGTCTACTCACGCACAGAGATATTCTTGTACTACATCAGTTACTATTACAGAATTACAGATCAAAGTCAAAGATTCATGCGATTTATAGCATTGTATATACTATGAAAACACAAATATCAATTTAAGGTTATGTATTGAAATTTGACAAGTTATATAATTCTAAAAATTGTATGTAGTGGTAAGATTTATCAGCTGGTCTGATACGTATGTCCAATTATAATACTATTTTCAGCAAAATGTAGTACTAGAATATTTCTGTGTGTATTTGATGATTTTACGGTTTAGTTGTTACGATAAGAGAAAATGTTTGACCTAACAGAATATGAAATCGATTGACATTTCAATCTTGATAATAAAGTATGTAAATTGAAAATGATATGTATCTCGTACATGGAATTGTATTTGTTCGGACAACTTTCAATTCAAGTGATATAAACTTCAAGTTATATCAAATTTCATTGAAAATAATTAAACTATATGGCAATCAATTGTCGATATTTAACTATATGAATATTGTGTATGAACGAATACATAAGAGCCTCTAGGATTTGAGAGATTTAATTAAGTGCAAACAAGTGTCGTTTTTTAAATTTTATTTTATTTAATTGAAATTTTTAATTTTTTTTACATTTTGTGCATTTATCTGAAAAAATATTCGTAATTTTTTAAAATTTGCTTTTTTTACAT